TGCTTTGATGAATCACATTATGAAAGGACAAAATGTCACAAAGATTGCTTCTCTTGGAAATTTGTTTCTCTGAAAGTGCCACACAGGAAATAGCCACAAATGCATTTGATTGTGTGCCTTACATTATTTTGTGATAAAAATCCATTCAATTTTGCATTCTTCTACTCAAGCACTTCACCCAGACTGCATGCATTTCACTCCAGCAAAGCATTTTCAAACCAATCTTCAAAGAGATTCAAATATGAGCTGTCATTCTTGACTTGTACTTTGAATAAAATAATTTAAACCGTTTTCTTTTCTTTTCTTTTTTTTTTTTTTTTGCCTTCCACCCATGAGTAACTTAATTGTTTACATTAGGAGCAGCGGTGCTGTTACATACATTATGTGAGCTTAAGAGCAATTGTTGTGAAGCAAGGTTATTCTGACATTATAAGGCGAAGACAAAATGATTATGTAACTTAGCATCTGTTTTAGTATGTATTCTGCAGAAAATGGAAGCATCTGCTTCGATTTCTGCCAAGGTATCAACCTGTAATGGAAAATACAATTGCCAATTAAATAGCATCTCGCATTTGGGTGCTTTGTGACTTTCTTTTCAAACACCACGATGATACTCAAAATAGCAAAGTCAGAGTCATCCACATTTAATAACTGACAAAAAAAATGCTGTCCCCAGCATGACTTGACAGTGCTACTTAGCAGTCAGAGCCATTCAAGCTGAAAATCTGCCACCACCTGGCACCAAAATATCTCTTATTCTCTTATTTTAAAACTATTTAAAATACACCATTCTGCAGGAAAAGAAACAGATTATTTGACAATAAGAATAAAAATCTATAGTCAACCATTTCTCTGGTTAGAAAAAAGCATCTTAGAGTCAAATGTGAGTTCGTTTGGACTAACTGAGACATGCAAGCGGTTAAGACATTTTGTAAAGAACTGGTCAAAATTACTCTACAACGCATGTGAAACTGATCATTGTAGCTGGTACAGGTTCTTTTACAAGCATATAATAATGTGATTTTTGTTTTGGGGTTTTGTAGCCTTTAATTGTGTGTTATAAATCTATATCGTTTGGAGTTTTATGTTTTTGTACACTTGAAGAATTAAATGGCTGCGTAACCTGCTAAAGACCGCATTGTCTTTTTATTATGTACTAGAACTGAGAGAGGGTGCACCTTATTTTTTATTTTTCCCAACTTGACAGTTTAATATGGACCTCCTCTGCTGCTGCTTTAAGATCTAAAATAGATTTGTGCGTAAAAACAAAACCAGCTGCGAAGCTCAGCATTGTTTTGGCTTCAACTCATCAAATGAACAGACATTAAAGAGATATATAGTTACTACTTTAAACAACACATCTGGAGTAAATTTAGATGATGCACAATTTAAGGAAAGCTAAAGGTTGCACTTGTGTCAAAAATCAGACAGAAAGTTTAGGCATTATAGTGTCTTTGTTTCAAGCACAAAGTACTTTACAAATGATTTGAACATCAAAACTGCTGACAGTTTCAACTGTACATTTTCCAGCCACGAGACAGGTTCTGAAACATATTTATCAGAGCAAAGACTCTTTTCCTCTTCCCTGCTGTGCACAATTATGATGAGTGACAAGATCCAACATCCAACGTTAAGGCACAGAAGTTCATCTCTCTCTGCTCAACAAGCCCTAAAGGAAGTCTTCATAGCCCTTTGCTCTGATGAAGGCCATTCTCCCGTTGAAAAAAAAGCTGTTTCAGTGGACTGGTCATTAAAATGTGGCGGGCAGCAGCCGACACGTCCGTCCAGAGGCATGCTACTCGCCTCATCATGTTCTTTAATCATAGCGGAAAGAGAGCAGCCCACACCGGGGTCACTTTCAACGAGTCACACTCTGAACGGTCTGAAGAGAGTCCAATTAAATCCTACATTTTCTGACCCAGGAGCGACTATGTAATGGGATCTGAGGGCCACGGCTCGATGGTCCAAGCAGAAGGAAAGTGAGAGTGATTGGCAGCACTTCATCCCTGACGCGATCAGTCACGTGTCTTTCCAAGTCCCTGCCCAGCCAAAAGAAAAAGAAAAAAAAGCATACAGTAAAAGCCTTCCATCCAGGCTGAAGCTGTGCATAGCATGTTCTTACTCAGGCTGCTTGGTTAAACAAGCATTCATAGGCAAAGAGGGCAGAAGATATCCATCCAAGAGCCAGGCAGCAAGGAGAGATATAGTTACAGAGTGAGAAAAAACAATAATGTCAGGACTCTTAATCCCTGGGACACACTAGTTATCAATCTCCTGTAAATGTCAGGCACCGGGATATGGCCTCATGAATGATGGATATCTTCTGTGTCATTTTTTTTCTCATCTTTTTCTACATTGTATTATTGAGTGAATTGCAGCCAGAGCTCAAACTCTATCCTGAAAGGTAGTACTCTCTCCTTGCAGTAGAAGCAATACTTGAATTCCAACTAACCAAGAGGAGACTTAGAAGCACAGAAAACCAAAAAATTTTAATCTCGATGGTGACATGTCACTCTCACCCAAATATGTTAAAAAATTAGGGATTACAACATCTGAAAAAAAATGACAATGCAACACGGATGTGAAACGACAATATGAAAGAGGTATCATCTTCTTTTCAACCATCATGACCTGACCAATCTTAATCAGTTTTACCTTATTGGTCATAGATCAAGGGTGCACACAAAAAGTAGAGAAAGACCTTTAAGGTGACAAAACATTAGAGTTGTATGCATGGCACATGCAATATTTTGCTCCATCAAAATGTTGCCATTCACGCAGTCCTCTGCAATTGTGATATTGTATACATTGAAAGTGGGTTTTATGAACAGAGTACAGACCTATTAATTAAGTGAAAGCAAGGCTGTGCAGACGTATTAGGGTTTACTTAATATAAATGGTATGTGGTGAGTGTGTCTCGAGCATCAGATTGGAGAAGAAAGGTTCAATAACAGTTTGAACATGGCTTGGTCTAACACAAACTGGTATTTGAGAAATTAATAATGGGAATTTTATCCGCAGTATCTCTGAAGTTTACAGAAAAAGATTAGGAACTGAAAAAAAATCATGGAATTGCACCCATGTTATTGGAAATGTTTGATGGGCAGACCTGTTTACAATGACAGGAATGCAACAGTAGCTCAAATAACTCATTATATGCAGAATACCATATTTGAATGAGCAACATGTTGAACCACACCATGTCCCACTCATTCCACCAATAAACAGGAAAAGTAGGCTACAATCCAAACTACAACAGACTGGAAAAACTTTTCCTGGTCCGGTGGGTTTCAATATTAACTACAACATTCAAATTATAGGTTCAGAATTCAACATGAAAGTCATGAAAGCATGGATTCATCGCCTTTATTGAATAGTTTTGAATGGTGACGGTGGTTAAATGAATGGGGTGTTTTCTTGGAACACTTTGGACCATTCACCAATCACTAAGCATTGTTTAAGCACCTTAATTTACCTGACTATTATTGCTGACCATATGTTGACTTCTTTGTGACCTGTGGACCTATCTACTGATGGCTACACTTCCAGCAATATAATGCACCATGTCATAAACCTAAAGTTTATTTTTTTTGTATATAAACTTTAGGTTTATACACCTAAAGTTTATATACATACCTATATAAACTATAATACTCAAAGTCAGCAGATTGTAATCAAATACATCAATTTTGGGACATGGTGGATTGGAAGATTTCTGACACAGACGTGCGGCTGACCAATTTTCAGCGACTGCGTGATGCCATCATGTCCATATGGATCGAGATGTCCAAGGAACGTTTTAGACACTCGGAATCTCATCTATCCCTAACTTAGGATGTATATGACTTCATTAGAAATTGGAAATTGATTTTTTTAGAAATAAAAAATCAATTGCTGGGACAATTGGTAGAACTTTTGTCTTGCAGAAAGAATGTCCTGATTTTGAATCCCACCATATGTAGGTTCTCTCTGGGTACTCTGGCTTCCTTATGCAATTCAAAAACATTATTATTAGGTCATTTGGCTTCTCTAAATTGCCATGGGTATGGGTATGGGTATGGGTGTGTCTCTGTGTGTTTCTGTGGTGATCTACGATGTACCTCTCCTCTTGCCCAATGACCCTGAGATAGATACCACCTACAGACCATATCGTGATATCCAGGTAAAGAAACTGGATGGCTCAATGGAGCAATGGAGTAGCCACAAGAGCAACCACAGAAAAAAAACGATTGTGTTTAAGATATTCTCTAACCTTACAACCATATAAGAACAAAAACAAGTTTTTCTTGTCATATGCAAAAAAGCAATTTGCCTTTTTATATATATATACTTTATATGTATATATATATAGAGACAGAGATAAAATGTTGGCAGCAGACTCCCATCTCGCCCTGTACTCCCAGTCCCTCCACTGGAATATTACAAGGATTTTAGGAGGGATTTTGATCTAACTGTCATTATACAAAAAGTATTGTTAATATCGAGAATATAAGAAAATCATTTACAATTTACACTTAGCAGCTTTATCTTTCTCTGATTTTTATTGTGTTTTTTTCTTATTCCCAGCATTCAATCCCCAATCGCTGTTCATCAGTTGACGGAGCCTGTTTGTAAACTGCGTAAAGTTCAGAATCCAGCTCGGAAGAGTGATTAATTACTTAACACTCATTAATCCGCTTTTAACAAGACGTATTATTAAATCTATTTAAACCCAGGAAAAGTTGGCGATTCTTGGAAAAGTGAATAAATCTTTCTGAAGGTGTGATTTGACCTTAAAGAAGTTTGGATATATTTGAAGTCCAGGTTATGAATGACACGAAAAAAAGTCCGATTTTTATTTTAAGAGGAGTGCCTGTATCTGGCTGAGCTTAAGTACAACAACCCAAGAACAATGACAACGTCGGAGCAACTGCGTCTCCACAACGGAAAAGCTTTCACATAGACATCCAGCAGAGCCGTGGGGCTCCACCACACGGGGCCTGACCGGCGCCGCTTCTTACCTTGAGCTGGCGTGGAGTGGATGAGAAAAGGAAGAAATAAAATCCATGTGGCGCGCCACATCGATCCGCTCCAGCGCTCCGCCAACATTGCTCCAAGCCGGCCGGAGCGGCCAACAAGTGCCAGGCGGAGTGGAGTCTGATCCCCCGGTGCTGGAAACCCCGGCGCGGCTCTCCTGCTGGAGCTCTGTGGGTCTCTCTCTTGTCTCGCTGTCCGTCGGAGCGCACCAAGCAGAGCGCACAGGACGCGGACACAAGCTGCTGTTCAAATTCGGTCAGACTGTGTGTGTGTTTTTTCTCTTCCTCTTCCTTTGGACAGTTCGCTCCACTTACACAGACTAGGTGTGATACTCAGGATAACGTTTCCTACTGAGCATCCTCTGAGGGTCCAAGTTTGAATATCTCTCTCTCTCTCAATCTCTCTCTGCACCTGTAATGACTGATGGATCGCACACTTTCCCCCTCTTTATATCTTCCAGCTTCTTCCTTCCCTTTGCACGCCAAACTTCGCCGGCTCACAGTAACTCCAGAGCAAAGAGCAGACTTTTACTTCCAGTGCCTCTCCAGCCCAGCTTCTCGTCTTCCCTGAAAAACTGCGGAGAGGAAGCCCGGGTCACACTCCTGCAAAGTTCCTCTTCGCGGCTCGCTGTCAAGGTCGCCAGTTCAGTTTGACAACAACGCTGACGAGAAGTTCCGCAGCTCCAGGAGTGAAGGACGAGGGCTGCTGCTGCTGCTGCTGCTGCTGGAGGTGGAAGAGGGAGGCGGGGGGTAACTTCCGCGCAGTCACAGTACTGTGGTCTGTGCCCAGCTGCCGGTTCGTCTGTGTGTCGGAGACCGAGGAGGACGAGTCCTGGGTTCTTCATGAGGTAACAGTTGGATCCAACGAATTGGCATCGCAGCGCATGATGCCACCATGCGGTCAAGCGCAAAAGCACACCCCACCGGATAACTCAAACATGTGTAGGTCATTTTGAGGCTTTCCACATCACAGACAAGGTGGAACAAAGGAAATGTTTCAAGAACTTGTTTCCTGTTTGTGTTGCCATGATCACAGCTGGTGGATGTAGAATGCAAATTCTAAACCCGATATTTATGGCTTACTCCACGATTTCACTTTCAATGATTAATTGAAAGTGAAATGTTTAAAACAGTAATCCAGTCATTGATTATCTGACAGAAAAACAAAAAACAGCTACTTTTCAATTTGATTGGATGCAGAGCATCAACAAATCATCAAGCTTTAGGACACATATTTTCCATTGAATTTTGGTTTGCACTTTGACTAGGCCATTCTAACATAAATATAAGTATGATTTGTCTTTTATATCTGACCACTAGCATGTTCTTTAATCTAAATTAAGAGGCCCATTCGTAAGGGCCAGTAACCCACTTAATAGTAGATGCTGGCTTGGTTTACTTGGTTTATTCAATCAAATGAATGGTTCATAGCCTCAGCATAACTGGCCTATAAGGATATTCATCCATTCATATTGTTATGTTGGAGCAGGGAAACATAAAGCACTGGATACTGTTGAGGGTAGTCAAGTTGTGGAAGTTCCTTCAAGGGCACCAAGCTATTGGAACTTTAATGTAGAAAACCTGATTAAATATGCGTGGTTGGTGTCTTTGTTCCATATAAAAACTGTACTTATCAGCATTTTTCACAACTTTTAGCATAATACCACAGCAGTGTAAGGTTAGTATTTGATTCAAAGCCTTGCTACTCTGACAACTTAACAAACAGATTTTTTTTGTGAAACCTACAAGAAAACAACAGATGTGGGAGAATGCTAAAAGCATGATCTTAAGCTTCTAATCCTTTCCAGTCATTTAAAACAGGAGTGCTCTGGCCCCATTTTTCCCCTGGCACTTATTTCTTGACAGGAGAAGCAAATAAAGAAAATTAACTGTCAGAATATCTAAGGAAAATACTTTTTTCTGTTCAAATTAAACGTTAAATTGTAAAACTTTTGGCTTTTTGGCTAACAATATGAACTAAACTATAAACAATAATGGTGAGTAAAATTAATTTTTTTTAGCATTATTAAAATAATCTTTAATTTATTTTCAATCTATTGTGGCCTTCATCCATCTGATTAATTGATTTAGATGAACTGTAACTTAAGGAACTTCTTAGTCACTCTCAAATGCTGCAAATCCACTAAAACAACTAATTTCCATAGTTCTTTACCTAAATATGCATAAACTCTGACCAGCTTTCCTGTCCCTGCTAACAAAAAGGGTTGCTACAGCATGATGTTGCCACCACCATTTTAAACAGTAGGCATGCTGTGTCAGATTTATGGACAGTACTGGTTTTCCACTCAACATTTTGTGTGAAGGTGACATGGTACTTCTCTAACCAGAGCACACTCTTAAATGTGATTTGGAGATTGTAAATATAACATTCTTTCAACAACACTTTTCTTTAAGGCACATTAGATTTGAATCTAGACCACTTGCTGTCTTTTCAACAGATAGTCCAACCAGGCTGTGAACCTGTGCAGCTCCACTTGAGCTAACATGGGTCTCTTGGCTGATTCATGAGAAAGGGTAATTTTTTAGGGAGGCTTACCATTGTGCCATGCTTCTTCCATTTCTTCATTATGGACTGAACAATGGTCTCTGAGAAGTTCAAAATGCAAGAAATCGAAATTTTGGGGTGGGATAAAATGCAGTGTTGTCCTGCTCAAAGCACTCTAAACTCAAGAACTTAATTTAATTAATCACATTTGTTTTTCAACTTGCACAAATGCCCTCAATCTGGATGTGTCAACAATCCCGGGTGGAAGCTCCACTTTTTGGGCAGTGTCAAAATTGACTTGATGGACAATTTGTTGACTCTTATGTCAGGTACTGCTGAGTTTGACGACTTCACGTCAGCCCTTATTATCCAGTTCCACCCCACTCTCTGGAAACACGAGAGTGCTTGTTTCATTTGGGAGGGTCAGTTTGGCCAATTTTTAACTAAGTAATTTATTGATTAATTATCGCCTCACCAATAGCCAATTCTTCACGTTAGTCGATTGCTAGTTTTTGCAAGGAGAGCTCATGTTTTTAAGTCCCCAGTGGATTCCTACAGAAGCTATATGGTGTCCATCGTTGTGACACAAAGTACATCCCATTACATGCAAATTTGTGTGTTTTTGATATGATGATCCCTGCCCTCTTTCAATATCTTTGTAACTCTGCTCAATGCAAACACAACAATGGCCAGGGCACAACATGACAAGGCTGGATCCTGAAGCGTAGATCTGTTGAAGCACAAGCTAACGTCATGGATGTGAAGCGGACAAACCTGAAGCAACTATGTGATCCTAGCATATTAAGCTGGCCTAATTCACAAAAGAATGTTTCAAAACCTTTATAAATCTAAGTCACAAAGTAAGAAGGCAATTTGGTGTCAAAATGGGTACTACTGGCAAGTGATTGTATGTATCAAATCTCTATCTCAAAGCTATGATCAAATAGCTCAAACTCTTCATTAAGGGTAAGAAAGCAGCGCTGTTACTTTCAGCATGCAGTATTTTAAAGTTTGGCTGCAGTTTGATTCCTGCTGTACCTGTGATGCTGGATGCTTTTGTGGTAATTTTCTAGCCAAGCTTGTAATGTTCCTTTCCTTTTTAGCTGAGGCTATGAAATGCAATGTAATTCCCCAGAATATATGAGGCACATGACATGAATAGAAAAAGTCACAAATGGGGTGTGCTGTAAGTACCACCACAGGCTGGAATCAGAAGGGCTGCATGGTATCTTTTCTTCTTTCAGGAATATAGGTTGGAGGAGAGGGTGAGAGAAATATGAGTGGAGGACAGAAGGTGGAAATGGGAAGATAGAGGATGACTGAGCAAATGCTCTTTCCAGGATAAGAGTGGGAGCAAAGTGGAGACAAAGAAAAAGTAAAAAAAAGCATGGTTGAAGAAGGCATGGTTGTCTTGAAAGTGGCAGGATGTTCGGCAGGAGAAAGCATGTATTTGATGTTCCTACAAGCCGAGTAGCCGATCTAAGCTACCATGGGCAAAATAATACACCATGGTAATGCCGTCTGTTTCTCCACAGCAGGATTTTTTAAACACGACTTTTAAAAGAAAGTAATACCTTGCACAAAAGTTAATAATGGGAGAGTTAGCATCAGGAGAACCATGATGGAGTACCTCGTCTACCACCCTCAGGGCTGCCCAGGGAACCGATTATGATTTCTCAAAGTAACCTTCCTGCTGTGACCGAACTCAGCAAGAAAGAATCATAGAAGAAACCTTGGTCAGAGTATTTTAAGCCACAATCCTGCACAAATGAAGCAGAGCTGTTCACGTTGCATTCCTTGCTCTCGTGTAGATGCAGACACCACCAGGTGTTAGCTTCTGGTGCTTTTGAGCGTTAACTGACTGTGATCACAGGTGCTAAAACAGATTACTGCAAGCTGTATTCTTCTTTTTTTTTTTTAACCAATCCCCTTCAGTGATGATGGTTTAAAATCTTTGGGTTTATAATTAATTTGAGTAATTCTGTCTTTTATCCATGGCAACCATATTTAACATTTTATTAAAGCAAAAAAAACTACACTTAAAAATGCACTTATGTTTGTGCACCAAAGAAATCAGCAAGGAAGAGTTTGAATTTAAGCAATAGTTGCTTTTCATGCTTACTACAAAATATGATGACATTTTTTACTGGTTTGGTTTCCTTTCTTGTAGCACTGCGTCTTGACAATTTACTTTCTATGACACCTGTATTGCATTTTTTAACAATCAGTTTGTATTTTAACCTTCACAAAATTAAATGTAAAATGTGGATTTCAAATGTTTCACCATTCACTGTGAGTCAATTGTCATTTTTTTGCTGGAAAAAAAACATTGGATTGATGCTGAAATGAAAATTTCCATCATCTAGAAGTTAAAAGTCATAGGACAGCTAGCTGTCTATCAAGGACTGTTTATTTTCAGTCTAATTTGCAGGTGCAGTCCGGTCTAGTACTCCTCAATTTAAAGTTTTCAGTTATATTTTATTCAGTTATACTTTGGACATTCATATACCTCAACACATTGGCAGAAAATCTTTAATACATTTTACAAATCACTTGGCTGCAACAGTATAATTTGCCATAAATCAAGTAAAATAAAAAGCTTTCCAAATGGAAAGACAAAAATATCTTCATACTTAGTGGAGGCACAAACTAACAATGTGAGATCTTGTTTTACTGAATCTTCAACTGTGTAGAACTTACACTGAAAAAAAAAATGAGTCAAAGCTAACATTCCCCAATGTTTTGATGCCTTAAGAAAAGAAACATACAGCAAGGAAGAAAAGAGGAAGGGGAGTGGGTGTCTTTGATCAATCAGATGCAGTTCTATTTTAAACATGAAATGTGCTCAGGCCAAAACTCCAAACCGGAGCTCAGACCTTTGCCCGAATTTGGTAAGGATTTTGCTCCAGTTAGAATGAAATAGCAAGCACACATACAAGTCGAAAAACATAGCACCCCCCAAAAAAGAAATAAAACATGAGACGATGTTCATCGAGAAAAAACAGAGGTCAGAGTTCTGCAAAAAAGACAGGCCAAAGGGAGTACTTCAAAAAGACCTTTAGAGACGTTTAAGTCCACTTCGTTGACTCAAACACACACACACGCACGCGCGTGCACGCGCACCTACAAACACACACACATTATATATATATATTCCTCTGCTGACCTGATCTTTCAGGATAAAACTTGATGCATCCGCCTTCAATGCTATTTCTGAAAAAATAATAAATAAATTACATTAAGTAGAAAAACAGAACAAGATGCCAGAGTTTGCAAACAAAGAATTTGCCTTTATAAAGGTCATGTACTTATATTTTAGTTTTT